AACTCCATTTTCCTACATCAGCAACTATTGGAAAAGTTGCCTCCTTATAAATGCAGCCATAATATTAAAGAAGCTCTGAATAAACATTCAGGGAAACGGCTATATATTAAACTGCAGCTGTAAGTTATGTGTTGATGGTTGTGTTTATCCCCTGCAGCCTCCATTCCTATTTTTGTCTCTCTTCGTCCCGGTGCTCTATTTATTCTGGGGCTCGCATTATATTGGGTTACTATTATTATTGTGGCCTTCGAGGCTCTGCAGTCTCTGTTCTCCATTTAATTTGTAAACAGTGAGTCTCAGCGTCTGATTGTCTCTTTTGTCTCCTGGAACACAATAATCCTCTCTTCTCTGCCTCTGTGTGTTTGGCCTGCTCTCAAAGCTCTGACCCACTAATTAAACAATCAAACACTTGTTTGCAGCCATCTTGGAAAGTTCCAGCCTCTCAGCCCCCCTCTTTACGACCGAGCGTCCATGTTCCATCAGGTCCGTGTGAGGGCTGTCTCAGGCTCCTCTCGCTGATGTAACGATAAATCTTTGGCCATCACCACCTCATTCTGCTTGTTTCCTGCTAACATAACTCAGAGCTCCTCCATCTGCTGCTTCTGGAAGTTTCAGAGCAGAAGGATTTTTATCCAAAGTGAAATTATCTTAGAATATTCAGTCATCAAACTCTGGGTTCATCAGTAACTTTATGGTGCAAGCTATAGTTTTTGAAATAACTTACTGGCTGCTTTATTGGATCTGGGGAGTTTAAACTCCTCAAGATGCATAACCTTAGCTTATATTGGTTTATAATCTGTATAAAATCTTCTTCAAGCAACTTTTTGCTATCTAAATTTTCAATGTATTAATTGAAAGAAATTAATCAACCTTTGCAAAAATAATTATTACCTGCAGCTCTACCATCTTTTTGCTTGTCTGTATTCAGCACTCTACCAGCAAAACAAATTCCTCAAATGTGTACATGTACATTTTGTTATTTTCTTCAGTATTAACCGCTTGGATATACATATTTGGATGACGGGGTTTCAATGTTTTTATGGCCTTGAATGTTCTCTTCTCCAGAGCTGATTGTTGACCAAAAATCGAATGCCTCTGCGATTTGCATATTGATTTTTTTTCTTTCAAATAATTAGTAAAATGCAATTAATAGACCAGGCCTAGTTAGACCTTTCGAATTACAGTCCCTCTTTCATGATGTCATCTGACCTGAGAGGGAACTGGTGTGGTCATTTACTGCTACTATCTGCACTTAGGTTTGACGAGTTGGCCTCTCAGAAATCGGTTGAAATAAGAGTCAATTTAAGATGTTGCTTTTCTGCCATGTCCAACCAGCGTTCACATTATCCACTCATTTATGACATCAAGGATCTAACTCAGTACCCACTCAGTATGGCTGAAACAGTTAATTGGATTAATCGTCATTAATTGATTATTAAAATAATCTTTTAAAATTAATCCTTAACGAGTATAGAGACTGTAAAACATACCTTAAGCTGACAAAGTAACCCACCTTGAGCAGTAATTATACAAAAAATTTAAAAAAAAAATTTAAACATTTTGCATTTAAGTTAAAATTTGTTTTTGTCTGTCAGTATGCTCTATCCAGAACACCTCAAGTCGAAAATGTTTTGTTTCACATGGTTTAATTTCTTAGAGCCTATTGCTATCTGATTATTAACCGATTAATTGAAAAAAGAACTGATATATTTATTTATTATTTATTTGCTGAATAATATTAAGTTGCACTCCTACAGTACCACTCAGCCAATGTTCAGTGAATAATTTTAATTTCCCTAAAGCAGTAGCTGATTCAAAAAAAGTTGGTGGTGTTCACCATATATCGCTTTATATCTGCTTACTGCTATTGCATCAATAACTAATGAATGCTTGGATCTTTTAACGCCTAAACAGAAAAAAAAACTATCTTTAATAAGGAGCTGCATCAAATATTTCTCATTGAACTGAAAGTTAATTTCGTACCTTGAACTGAGAGGTTTATGGTAAATTAAGCTGACTGTCTTCTTTATTAGCTTTAGATGGTTTTCCAATAGAAATGATGGAGATACAGATGGGAGAAAGAGGACTTGGCTTTCTGATGTTAAGATTATTTGGGACACAAAGAAAATAAAGATACTAAATTAATTCCCTTATTTTTTCCTTCTTTTTCCACAGTGTGACCCACCACTACAGATCCAGGATCTGTTCCAGGATATTCAGGATGGACACGTCCTCATGGCTTTGCTCGAGGAGCTCTCTGGCTGTAAACTGGTCAGACTCGGATGTTTTTAATCATCTATGTGTAAACTCATGATGTGCCGTGCAGCTGTGTAACTGCTCTCTGTCTCCTTCTCATAGCTCCACGGCTTTAAGAAGTCTTCCCATCGGATTTTCCGACTCAACAACATCGCCAAGGTGCTGTCCTTCCTGGAGGAGAGAAATGTAGGTCTCCGACTCACTTGGCTGTGACTGCACTGATTCTGGTCTCTTTGTTAAAGCTGGGTTTATGTGTCTTTCCAGGTGAAGTTGGTCAGCATCGATGCAGCCGACATCGCTGATGGAAACTCTTCCATCATCCTTGGACTCATCTGGAACATCATCCTCTTCTTCCAGGTACTCCCTTTCATTCCTTCACTCTGACCTGCTATTCCCAGCTGGATAGTGATCAGATCTGACTGAAGAAATTTACCTAATCCAACTTTTCAATCTCCGCCAAGATCAAAGAGCTGACAGGAAACATCCGGAGCCAGTTCCCGTCTTCGTCCAGCTTGTCCTCCATCCCCACCAGTTCGGACTCGGACACGTCCTTCAGCAGCTCCCCGTCAGAGGAGCGACAGTCTGCTGCCATCACTATGAGGGAGAACAGCAAGGCTATCAAGAAGCTGCTGCAGTGGATCCAAAGGAGAACCCGGAAGTGGGTTGGCTGTAAACCTTTAACACTAGTAAAACCTCAGCTGATGAAAGGGGTTCTGATTCGATCTGTTATGTTTTAGGTATGGAGTGGCTGTGCAGGACTTTGGGAAGAGCTGGACCAGTGGTCTGGCTTTCCTGGCTGTCATTAAATCCATTGACTCCAGTCTGGTGGACATGAGGAAGGCCCTGTTAAGGACCCCCAGGGAGAATCTGGAGGATGCCTTCAGGATAGCTCACTACAGTTTGGGAATACCACGACTGCTGGAGCCTGAGGGTAAAAAAATCTGTTTTACATACCTGATCCATGAATCAGCCGCTGGCTGCTGTGACACATTCCTGATGTTTCCTGATGTTCTGATAAGACGGAATCATAAACACAACAAGGTCAAACACAGCCTTAATCACAATAAACCCGCAGAGTTTCTGCATTTTTTTAAACTGGTCGGTCTGGCCCATTGAAGGCAACTAAAAATAACCATTCATGGTTTGATTTAGCATGAAAGAGAGGATTAAACAGGCCTTACGTCCCAAAGTAGCTGTGATTTATATGATAATAGCCAAAACAGAATGCATGAAGGCATCATCTTTTTGTTCATCACACATAAGAGCTGCTATCACTTATCAGAAGTCAGTAGGTTATATTCATAGAACAAAGATAAAAAAGGCTGAAAAGAAAGAACTACTTTAAATAAAGAAAGAAAGTAAAATAGTGGAAAGCAGGATGAGATTGGTCGAGGCATCTGTTTATTACAGGTGGTAGATGCAATTTATCCAATTAAAGAATTAAATTAAGGGAAGTAAGATCATCAGCTGAAACAGATTTAACTTTCAAACCTCCAACCTGCTGAGAAGTTGGCCATTTGGCGCTATGCCAGCATACTTTTCACTGGAAACAGAACCAGTTTCCTCCAGTTGTGACCTCTGCTCTCTACCGTCGGCTGCATCTGTTTCAGCACAAAAATCTGGTGATACCAGAGCAGGAATGTTTTACTGTTTCATCAGGAAACTGGTTAAATTAGAAACTGTTGATGAGAGAAAGATGGCTTATCAAGTTTCATGTGCAAGGTTTTTTTAAAAAAATGTTTTCAACTGTTTTCCATCTATAATACTATAATATACAGCTTTATAAATGTGTCCATTACTTTAAATGATCCACCTGGCCTGGATGTAAGAGATCTTAACTGTCTTCACGTAAATCCTTGTTAGTCTTTTAGACTGTATTTGTAAAAAGCTGGCTTTCCCAGAGGAAATCTGTTCTAGATTAAATCAAATCCACCCAAATTAAGATCTAAACAACCAATCGGTTGACTTGGAGAAGATGTAAGTTGAAATGTTTCTAAGATAGCATTGGGTTTAAGATTTGTTGTCAAGTATGTGAAAATTCATCCTTCACATTTCATTGCAATTTTTAATAAATGTGAAACAAATAAGCATTCGTATTTTACAACAAACAACTTACTTTTCTTTAAAGGTGATAAACCTTTTACACAATTGGTGGCCATGTGGGACTTTACTTGAGGGCGCAACAGTGGCGTCAGGTGTAGGAGTTTGCCCTGGAATGGAAGGGTTGACGGTTCAAGCCCCGGCTTCGGCTTTCAATGTAGTTGTGTCCTTGGGGAAGACAATTCACCTACATTGTCTACTGATGGAGGTCAGACGGCCTGGTGACACCAGTGTATGGCAGCCTTGCTTTTGTCAGTGAGCCCCAGGGCAGCTGTGGCTACAATATAGTTTGCCACCACCGGTGTGTGAGTGTGTGCGTGAATGGGTGTATGACTGAATGTAGTGTAGAACGCTTTGGTCAAGTCTCCTGACTTGGAAAAGTGCTATTTACAGGCCATTTAACTGATTGAAAGAGGACTCCCTTGTTTCTAATCAGAAAAAAAGGAAAAATATTTTAAAAATCTAAATGTGGCACTTTGGGCTTAATTGTGTTGGAAAATTGAAGGTATCTTAGATGCAGTTATTTGCAATGTATAGTAAGTTGAAAGGTGCAAGGCAATGTGACACAATGAGAGAGAGTTAAAGTTCAGACAAATGGAACTATGGTGTAAGATGTATGATGATGAACAATATCTTATTGTTTTTCAGTGGGGAATTTCAGGTGTGTCTGTAGCAAAGAAAAGACAATAAGAGCATTATGGGAAAACACAAGCTTACCAAAAACACAAATGGATGTATGGATGTAGAAAACACTTAAGGAGTAGTAGAAACTGTTCATAAAGCTGGTAAAATTACAAACAAAGGCATCAGTGTAAAGGGTATAGTATGGGGTACATGACAATGTAAAATAAGTTATAATTTTGACACATTGTGTATAAAGTGAAACAGGTTAAAATTAAAGTTAGATGGATTGTAAAGGGTCTTTTTTTTATTAATAAAAGTTAACTTTAAAAAGAAAAACAAAAAACAACTGGTGCATGTTTCCTTTATGACTGCTGTGCAAATGTCTCCCATGTTGGGTTGACCTTCCCTCCATCCAGGGTTTCAGCAGAGCAGGAGAAGAATGGCTCAAATCTATGAAGAACGAACACAAACTGATTAAAATTTGACCTTCAGGTCGGCGCTGCAGAGTGTTTCTAACTAAAACTGATCTCCACAGAAAAAGTTACCCCCCACCCCCAGCTGTTATGGCATTGCAGATATTGCACTTATTTAACATTGATATCCTCATTTGCATAAAAGCTGTAAATTTCAACATATTTAAATAACATTTTTATTTCCCAACAATTGTTTTTGTATATTTATATTTACAATTGCTTTATGAAGGAAAGTTAGAAACCAAATTCAAATTCCCTTTCTTCGGCACAAACATGGTGAATAAAACTGATTCTGATTTCTTTCTTTCCTGCGTAGACATGGCTATAAACACTCCTGATGAGCAGTCTATCATTATGTACGTTTCCCAGTTCTTGGAGCACTTCCCCGGCATCCAGGAGGTAATGAAATGTTCCTGTAGGTTCTATCAGGTTCTGAATCTGGTTGAAGAAAATGTCTGTTAATGTTTCTGTCCTTCCGACAGTCGGAGGAACCTTCCCAGCTGATTGAACGAAGTGTCTCCATGGGTAGACTCAACTTTCGTGACATCGACTCGGAGCACATGAGGAATGGAGCTTATCAAAGCAGAGTGAAGCAGCGATCCTACATGTTCCAAAGGGACACCACTCAACCTCCTCCCAAAGTCTTAATTTCCTCGGTGTCAGAGGACAGATGTGTCCTGGAGCCACGTTCCAGGGTGACTGCTGCTCGTTCGTGGTCGAGTGAAGACATCCTGTCAGACTCGCCCCACGCTGAAGACGAGTCAAACAGTGGGGACGTGAACACCAGAGAGTCTGGCAGAGATGTCCTACAGGACTTTGGTTCCCCTCAAGAGTCCTTTACGCACTCCCCCTCATCGGTACCAGAGTCGATGGTTGGTGACTCTGCCATCAACTCTCCGGACTCCTGGATGGAGGGCGAGCTGAACCCTGACAGGTTCTCTGAGAGTCGCAGTGACAGTTCCTTATATGACAGTGGGACGGCCTGGGATGTTTACCGGGCCACACCGGTGGAGGTGACGCCATACGACGAGGGATTTATCTCATCGATCGAGGACAGAGCTCCCGATGAGGCCATCATTGAGACATGCATTGATGAAAGGAGGAGCTCTCTGGACAGATTTGATATGCAGACTGAGAAAAACCAAGAGGAAGAATGGAAGGAAGAAAAGGAGAACGCTGAGACTCTATACCAGAACCCAGACTCAGGCCAAACAGCTGATCTTAGAGAAACCAAACATATAGATGAAACTCCACTTCAAAAGGAGGACATTTCCAGAGAACAAAAGCCATTGATTAAACTCTATGAAGGAGAAAGTCTGGACAGCTCTGCTTCTGGAGATCTGCTTAAGAAATCTGATCAGTTAAACAGGTTTGAGCCCATCTTCTCCACTGAACCTCCTGATGACGAAAACCGTGCTGAAGAAATCCATCTGAGAGAACAGGATGGAGGAGAAAGTCACCAGAATGGAAAGTATAACGGTCAATCAGAATGTCTAGAGCAGACGTCTGAGGAGGACAATGGAGGTCAGAGAACTGATGCAGCTCCAGAAGATGAAGTAGAAGATGTAAGAATGAACTCAGATAGTTTAAAAGAAGGGAATGGTAACGTAGATGGAAGCCTAAAGATTTTAAGAGACTCCACACAGTGTGAAGAAAGCAGCAGCACAGAAACTTTAGATAAGCATTCATTCAATGGGGGCACAGCATTCAAACCAAGTCTGAACATTCCTCTAATCTCCATCACCAGTGAGCCAGATGAACCAGACGAAGAGACAGAACTTTATCCAGGAATTTTGGATCAGGACAAGCATGACGATCAGTGGAGAAATTCAGAAGTCTGGAGTTCTCAAGGTCTGGAGAACAGTGTTGGGAGTAACGATGATGTACAAGAACCTCCAGAGAATCCATCCAGTTTAATACCAAAACATACTAAACCAATGAGAGACCCAGAAAGTGACTCTGCAAGGGATCCGATTGACCAGGATGGCAGCTTTGGGACAAACTCAAAAGGTAACAGTGATGATTTCCTGGATAAACAGAATGTTTCGGCTCAGCATCCTTCTACCAACTCCGACCACCAGCCTGATGGATACGGCTGGAATGACTCTGATGGACACTGGGACCATCCAGGGAACCATATGGACTCATTTAATGGCTTTCAGAACATTCTGGATCCAGGTTCTCAGCAGCTGAATGGTCAAATAGCAACGCCGTTTTCTGAACCAACAGAATTATCCAGAAACTTGGACCAGTTTTCGTCTGACTATCACAGAAGCTCTCCAACAGAGGACCTGGTCGGCGACCGAATAGAACCCATGGACCTGTTCTACCCTGACAAAGAGGAGTCCATTCTTCCAGAACCGCCTGACACTGAGATGCAGAGGTGGCCATCAGTTCTGAGCGTCTCCGCACTGGAACCGGCGCCACCTTCAGACAGATCAGAGGACCTGCTGGGTGATGACTTCCTGAGAGGAGGAGAACATGAACATGTGAGTTTCTGAGCCGTTCTCTGATTTGATCAATATTTATATTGAAGAAAGGTTCTGGATATCCGTAACATTCAAAGAAATCACATGTTCTATTATTCTACAAATTATTTAAGTTATCGGGATCAGCTTCTCTGGTTTGTTTAGCTGCTGAGCCACATTCAAATGTATGCAAATGACACTGCGTGGGTGTGCCTGTGTTATACAACAAGCTGTGAGTTACTTTGGTTGCAATTAGCTCTCTGAACCTGGTAAACATGTTTAAAGCTGAAAGAAAATACAATAAAATCAACTTTATTTCCTCTTTACAAGATTATTTAGAAGCTTTAAATTCAAGGTTTTTGTTGAGCTTTTTCTGATTCTCTCTGCTCCATCTTATTAGTTATTATTTGGCTGAATGATTCTTCTTTTTCCCGTAAGACGCCTTCCGACTCGTCTCCATCCCAGGAGCAGTGTGTGATGTGCGGAGTGACGATCGGAGCTGTGCAGGCCGCTGATGTTTCTGAAGCAGGCAGCAACGAAGGCCCTCTGAGGTAGGGCTTCTATTCTGGTACTGTGAGAACCAGACCAGACCCGAGGGAGAGCAGTTGGACCATTCTGACCCAAATCCTCTCTGTCTGCTCACAAGTTCCCATAAATGTACTGAGAGCAAATATCTCAGAGGGCTGCAGGAACGAATCATCACAGCTCAAAGACAGCAGACCAGGATTATAGTTAATGTGCTTCAATTAATTCTTACATCACGGATTAACTGGGTTCCTGTTCTTCAGTTGGATTTAGGTTTATAATCCCTCAGGCTGTCAGACATCAGACCTCTTTTTCTGATTCTGTTAGAGCTTTGAGGCGTTTTAGCTGCAGCCTTTTAGGTTCTGTAATTGTTTCTCTGAAAGGGGTTCATTCTGAATACATTCAGGATGCAGGAAAATAAATGGATGTCTTGCAAGGTGTTGAAGGACTTCTACATGGAAGGTTTGGTATTTTTTGGGTGGGATTTTAAAATCTGAATAATGTTATGGAAAAACAATTGTGTCTAATATCTATATCTGCATCCTTTTAAATCTATATCTTTTTAAACAGAGAGAGAGGATGTTATAGGAACTGAGGAGTTTGTTGTTGTTGTTTTTTTCTTGTTATAGAGAAGTTAGATAAAACTCCCAGGCTGCATGTGATCATTCACCCACAGACAGAAATAACAGTGGACTAAACGTCCCCTGTATCACAAATCCAATTAAAATTGAATGAAACTGAACTAAATCTTCTGAGAACCACCAAGCTGCTGTAAATCTGCAGGGAAATAAACAGGACAGGCAGAGAAGTCAATAAAACAGTCTTTTCATTAAAGGTTCCAGCAATGTCTGACACTCTTGTCTCTCTGAGACCTGAACTGATGGATTTTGTCTTCTAGGATCGACTCCATCAGACCAAATGAGACCCACATCGCTCCAGTACTCCGACACAGAAAAGGAGCTCGCCTTTCCGAGTCCACAGTGAGTCCTATCCTCTGGCTGCTCCTCTCTGGGCTTTTTGCTGCACTCATACCACATGGATCATAAATAACAGTAATAATTGTTTGACAGGACAAACCTAGAGCTGCACCCAGAACGGCTGAACCTGAAGACTCTGATTTGTGGTGAGAAAATCTTTATGCTTTAATTTTCACCACGTTTCATCTACAGACATATGATGGGTTTGAACTCCTTGCATAGTAGCATTGAGCAGGTTAAAGTATCCATCAGGTGGACAAACATACATCATGATAATAAAATGTACCTCTAGTGTTTATCGGCCATACTGATCCTAACTGTTCCATAATTACCCGTTGATTCAGTTCCATTTCTGTATTGGAACAGAACCCAGAGCCCTCTTGGTTTATTTTGAACAATTACAGCTAAGTTTCTCTGAACAGCTGTCTGAAACCGGTTTGGCTTTGGTGATTTTTTTGAAAATATTAAAATTAAAGATCACGATCTATGGTAATGGTCAACATTCATATCAGGTGACATCTGTATCAAAGTCGGTTTGGAATAGTAAGGAATTTTTTTATCCCAAAAAAAGATTTTTAAACCTTAAAATACAGACATGTTTACTTCTTTATTTATTTTAGATAGTTTTTTTCATGTCAGGATGGTAAATATCTACATTGCATAACTCACAGGGCTAAAAAAAAAAAAAGAATGGGAAATACAGGACAGCCTTAATGGATATAATCCATCCATCCATTTTCTAACACGCTTTTCCCAAATGGGGTCGCGAGGAGTGCTGGTGCCTATCTCCAGGTGTCTACGGGCGAGAGGCGGGGTACACCCTGGAAAGTTCGCCAGTCCGTCGCAGGGCAAAATGGATATAATACAATATGAATATAATGATAATATAGTTACTGTTCTTAAGGGCCAGGTTGATAAAATGGGGCATATGTCTTTTCATTGTGACATTAAAGAGCGATTAAGCACACTTATAAACGAGCTAGACACCTATTCATGACACAATCCATCCAATAGACACCAACCTGGTGTGACACATAGTTTACTGATATTTCTGAGGAATAAGGATCCAACAGAACTATTTCTCATCGCACATTCTTCAGTTTATTTTTACGCCAGCGACCAATTCCAATGATCCCAGCACTGTAACTCTGTATACCATCGCTCTGCTGAACTTAGATCAAATGTGTTAGTGTTTTGGTCCTGTTTGAGTCATTTACTATAAGAAGTGTTATTTAAAATGTTATTTGAAGAGTGATCAATCCAAGCAAGAATTGGGAATAATCCCTGAATAGCCAGAATCTATTTTTTGGTGCAGTCACATTATAAAATGCTGAAATGTTTCTTTTACAGCTGTTTATTTGGTTCTAATGTGTGCAATATCACAGTCCTACATGCAGTATTAAACTGTATTGGATTTCAGATGCAATTTATTCATAGTCTGCATACCGCTGTATTGGTCAGTGTAATTACCTTTTATTGACTTGGATGCTAAAATTCATAGAGTGAAACGGTGATAGGGTGAGGATGGAAGAAAATATGTCTTCATATCAGTTTTGTCCTCATAAAATTCTACATCAACATGTTTTACTGATGCCCAGAGATAGAATGGGGAACTGTCCTGGGAGTAACCAGCTTATAGCCCATGGAAATAAGCTCCATTCCCTGAACGACCCTGCAAAGATAAGCCAGTATAGTAAATAAATGGGTGTTTTATTAAGCCATAGTTTCCTTAATATTCTCTGTTTTCTGCAAATAGAAAAAAAATAGCTTTCTATTAGTCGAGGAGATTAAGAGACTGGTGTTTAGAATACTGCTAAGGAATACGACTGCTAAAGATATTTCTCTTAAGATTTAAAAGTGCTTTTAACAAGTGATAACATATTAGCTCTTTAGGGGCTTTGCCATTCTATGGCCACATTTTTTCTCCACTATATTCTTTTAAGCAACGACTATAAATTGGTGTTACAGGCAGAAAGGGGCATAAGACTCCCAAACCTTCCTCAACATCTGAAAGCCTTTTGGTTTAATCCAGTTTTATGGAGAGACCTAAATATAAATCATATTATCTCCACAGTTAGATATTTTTAACAACTGCTGCTTGATTTTCTAACCTCTTCTGGCTCCTTCCCTCTAAACTCTGAGCCCTCTGATCCTGATCCTTTGTTTGGTTGCAGGTGGAAGGAGAACTGGGAGCTATGTTTGCTGCTGCTGCTGTGGCTGCTGCTCTACTCCTTCATGGTTCTTCCTCAGATGGACCTGAAGACGCTGCCGAGCTTGCTGCTCAACCGATAAACGCGCACGCACGCACAGCCCAACTAAAACACACAATAAAAGCATTGAAGGAACCGGAGCTGAGCTGCCATCCTCCTCTTCGTCACTCACTCCAGCTTATATGAAGGCTTTATTCTTCTTGTCTGACAGAATTCATTTTTTTATTTACTTTTGTAAAAAAACAAAAACAAAGAATATTTTAAGAAACCATTTTTCTTTGATGTAAGCAATGTCAACAAATGTAAATTTGCAGATTCATAAAGTTCTCAGAGTAAACTATAAAAAAAGCTGCTGTTTTAAAATATAATTACACAAATCAGTCACAACAAAGACTCACACAGATGTAGGGATATCAGAGAGAATAAAATGTGTTGTAATTTTACAGAAATAATGAACAGATTTTGTTAAAACAGGTGGGTAAAGGCACCATCAGGGGCATTTTTATTGGAAAAACAGTTTATCGATAAAATTTAAATTTCTGAAAATTTAACTTAAATTGTTATTTTTTGTCTTTAATAAATCCCTGCCTTTTTGCAGGCACATAAACATAAACGATCGTTCAGTTATCAATTTTCAAAGTAAGTGTCTGGTTCATTTTAATCATAGTTCCTGTATGGTTTTTTTTTTTAATTTTTTTTTATTGTTTCTTTAAGATCACACTTCAGATACTGCTGCTTTATTCTCACTTCATTACTGAACCATCACGGCTGTTCTAAGTGGTCTTATAATGATGCTTGTTGTAAAGTATTTTATTTTGAAATGTTCCTTCTGCAGTTTGTATTGTTTCCTCTTTTATGCCAGCTGGAAGCATGATTTCTTCCTCCAAGGTTCTCTGTAATGTTCCTCTCAGACACGCTGATATTTTGTCTCTCAGCTCACCGATCAGCCTCTTTAAAGCTCTAATGATTCATATCTGCATGGTGATATGCAGAACTAGAACCCTTTGAACTTTAGAGAGTTTTGTTTTTTTGCTGCTTATGAAGTCTTAATTTTTCCTCTGTTTAAAAATGTTTTTTTTTACTGTAATCCAGTTTGGAGTTTTAAGAGCTAGTTTCAAAGCCTCAACAAAGAAAAAAGTAAAGCTATCAGACTGAATTGAAGCAGGTGTGTGTCTGAAGCTATAACACTGACAGCTTTCTGATCTGTGTTTAAAATATTGATACTAAAGATGCATCAGTGGAAAGAAAGTTTCGACTCACAAGAATATGCAACACAGTCTTCTGAATGTATAATAATGGGTCACAGTTGGAGAAGGTGAAGGTCTCACCTTTATTCAACCCTGTAATCCGTCCCAGTTTTTCAGAGGAAGCATTTTGACGGACCAAAGGCATATATTCACAACCTCTTAAGATTTCCACTTTTTTTTCATATTGCAACCACAAGCTCCAAGTCTTTGAGCAATACAGGATTTTGAAAGCAAAGAAAATATGTGTAAGAGGTAATATACATGGTTTTCAAAGGTTTTTACAGATGTAAATCTGAAAGTTAGAGCTAATCTGGGTTCATATGTTGCAGAACCACCTTTTGCTGCATTAGGCTAGTGTGTGTCCTTTTTTATGGCGACATAGCTCATGCTACACAATCAGAATGGATAGAGAGGCTCTGCAAACTTAAGTTATTGAGTCTTCTCATTCTCAGCATGATATAAGTCAGAGCTCTGACTAGGCCATTTCAACACCTGAATATGCTAAGATCTAAAGCATTCCACTACAGCTCTGGCAATATGTTTATGGTTCATGCCCCTCTGGAAGATGAACAACAGTCTCAGCTTTTTTTTTTTTTATTGGTTTTCTTCCAGGAATGTTGCATATTTATATCCTTTTTTTATTTTTATCCTTTTTCCCATCAACTTTGACTTTGCGGGCATTTTACACCCTATCCAAAAAGTTTAAATTTGGACCCGTCTGTCTTAAGAACACTCTTCTATTCTTGTAGTTAACCTGAAAACCAGCTGTATTTACAGAGAAAGAATTACATACCTTTAGGGGACACATCAGCTGAATAGCTGCTGTGTCTACTGCATCTTTTTTGTGGATTTTAAAGATTAGAATTAATGAAAAACAGAGAACTTTTTTTTGCGCTCTAGTTTGTTATGTCTTTGTGCTGCATGATCAAATGGGATCCAAATAAACTGGGAACATCTTACATTTTCTGCTCCTCTACTGTGACTCAGCACAATTACGACACATTTAAAATGAAGTGTTATAAAAGACTGATGCAAAATGTAAAGCTCTAGATTTTTGAATGTTTGTAAAGTCTGATGGGGCCTCTGAATGTTCTGCACCGAAGAGACAAACCACCAAAGATCATGTTCATCAGGTACTGTTTTCAGCAGGTTTAATTATATGGTTAAAATTTTTTTAGAGCAGCTCAGAACCGGATTTTACAAGACTGGGTGAATATGAATCATGATGGATGGATATTTGGAAAGTGTTTTTTTGTTTTTTTATTTTGTTGTAAGAATTTCCCTGCAAACGTATCCTCTCTGATCATTGTTCTGCTCACCATCACCTGAACTGAGTTTCACACATCAGCTCCTCTGTCGACTTGTAGGCAGCAAAGAAGCTGCTCGACACAGTTCACCATCACTACTGTGTGCCTGCTTTGGAATAATTATTTACACAACTTTGTGCTAATTGTACACTTAATACTGACATAAGTTTGTTATCAGCCTCAACATTAGAACCACTTGAATGAGAAATTATACACTTCCATTTCAAGGAAACTTCAGGTCCAAGCATTTGTGATGTCATATCTACTCCAGATCCCCTAAACCCAGCTCAGAAAGCGCAATGAGCGCCGATCTGATCAGAGACAATTCCCTGAGACCCAACCCTAACTGCCCTCAGGACCCACAACATAAACAGCCAACATCCCACAGACGACCTGCATCCATGCTGTTGGAGCTACCGAACAGAAAGAAACTGGTTTTAATGTTCTGACTGTTTGTTGCACTGTTATTATAAAATAAATGTATGTAAGGATTTTGTAAAAAGTCTCAAAACAAAACGTAACATTTAATATCCTGATTAATTTGCATTTAAATCCTGTAGAAATCGACCACTGAATATATTTTATGTATATTATTTACCTTATTAGGTTGTTACTAATGCATTAAAGTGCCCCTGATATTGACAACAAGAGAGTTGTCCTTTTATTTTGGTCAACTGCCATGCATATTTCTGCTGCACACATTGTCTGAAACTGGTTTGTCTATGTTTTACCTGCATGTCTGGAGATTAGTAGATAGGCCAGTGGAGCACCTGATTCTGTAATCTTGAATCACAAAATACATTCCCTTGCTCTTTTACTTCCTACACACATTCAGTTGCTGATTAACACAATCATCTAATCTGCCAATCACACGGCAAGAAAAGTCATAAAGCATTTAGGTATCTAGACATGGGGGGGAAACAACTTGCAGAGGTTCAAATTGAGCATCAGAATGGGTAAGAAAAGGGATGTAATTGACTAAAGGTGGCTTGGTTGTCAGTGCAGGACAAGCTGGTCTATATAGCTGACAAACTATGGAACTACTGGATTTTTCACACACAGCCAGCTCCTCCCTCGTTAAGTAAGGAAAAATATAAAAGTTCTGCCTGCTTCAGTTTTGGTTTCATCTGCAACATCCTGCTCTACATGCTACCTGATTTTTTTCAATGAAAATGCAGACTTCTTTATGATGCCTGTGTAAAAATCCTCGGATGGCTACTTCCAGCAGGAAAATTCATAATGTCATACAGTCCACATTATTTCGAACTGGTATCATGAACATAATCATTTTAATTCAATCACTGTATTTGTAGTTTAAAGCTCTATTTTACAACACACAGCTTACAGAGACAATTCAATCAAATCACACAGTCAGACTGCCCCTCTTGGAAGACCATCTGGGCACAGTTGAGATTCACTTGCATTGTGAGGACTCTGCAGCAATCCCTCACACCGAGCATGCATACGGTGACAGTGGAGAGGCGAAAACTCCCTTTTAGCAGTAAGAAACTTCCAGCAGAACCAGAGTCTGACTGGAGTTTGGGAAGACAGGGCGAAATATGAAAGGAACATAGAGGCACTGATTCATAAATGCTTACTATGTTCTAAAATATAGAAATATAGGACTGTAAACAAGCTCCACAGGTGACTCTGTCTGGGAAAAGAACAGTTAAGAAGATAAGCTCTTAGCCAATTTTAATGTTAAAAAGGATGAAAGAGAGCTCATACAAGTTACAGCAAAAGATGAGCCCACATCTATGTCTAGGGAAGAAACAGGACTAAACACTGAAAAACAGTCAGCAGCAATCAAGCTGATTCCTCCCTCACACCTAAACAGAGTGCCAGATCAGATGAGGCTGCAATGCCATAACAGTAGTCTCTATGTCCTCCAGCACCCTAAGCCTATAGCGGCATAACTATAGAGGTAGATCAGGTAACCTGAGCTACTCTAGCTATAAGCTTTTAAAAAATAGAAAAAATAAGCCCATTACTGAAAATAAACTGGGTATCCTCATCATGGACTAAAACTGGTAGTTGCTCAGAAGAGAGGCCTAATGACTAAATTATCTGCTTTCCAATCTACTTTTAGAAATTCTAGGAGCCACTACTAAACCTGCAGATTAAGAGCAAAGTGCTGTTAGGAACATAAGGAACAATAAGATCTCTGGTATTAGATGGAACTTAGTTGTGTGGGGTTTTACATATGAGAAAAAGACATTTGAATTCTATCCTAAATGTAACAGTAAGCAAATGAAGCAAAGCTGAAAATGGATGAAATATGATCAGGTTTATAATAAGTTCCCTGTATTCTTATGGCTTCCACAGTCTCTGGATTTAAATCTAACAGAGAACTTTCGGGATGTCATGGAACAGAACATATATATCCTAAATATGCAGTTTAAAAACCTATTGAAAATCTGTAAAGTTTTAAGGACAGGAGATTCTCTGTTATGTCATCTCCCCAGGATTCATTGACAAAGAGAAGCTGTGATTTAACAGGAGTAACCCTTTCAAAAGGAAGCATTCTAAGTTATCTTATCTTTTTAAAGATACACAGTTTAAACTTATTAGTCTGTTGCAATTAACACCTTGACCAACCCTGATCTTCCCTCAGAATGGAGACCTTGTTTAAATTCACAAGGCTTCTAGACTCAGAGGGCGAATATTATCCTTCCTGGTCTGCAGCGAGAAAGTGACAGTAGCTGTATCTGTGTGACCAATTACTTTCAAAGCCAAAGCTATCCCTGCTAACAAACTTAGTTTAGTCTTTAAAATTCAACAATTCTTCTCAACAGTGGTATATTTGAAGGTTTCGTATAATGCTTTGCAAAATACAAGATTACATATTTTTGACTCATCCTTATAAGCTATGACATTTACCACAAAACCTATCAAGTCAAGATCCAGATTGCTGAAACTATGAGCTGAAGAATTCAGTTCAGTTTATTTCTATAGCACAAATTCATAAAACATGTAATTTTGAAGCACTTTACAATTCATCCAGATCATACAATTGATTCATTTTTGTTTAATCTGAGGAAAACCAGTTTATTGCATTGACTTATTGACTCGAAGGCAATCCCTCACACTTAGCATGCTTGTTTTTTGGTCAACTATTTTAAATTTTACACTTGAAAAGGGTCGAGGCAGGTTATTGGTGTTATTTTTTTATCTTCACCAAGTGAAGGTTTTGTTAGTAACAAGTAAAACACTCTTTTATAAGCTTGATAGTGCCATCTTCTGGCAGCTAACCAAAACTACAGGGTATAAAATAAGAGAAGACAATGGCAATTCTGATTAAGATCATCAATTTAATATGTCTAAAGAAGCTAAAGAAGAGTTCAAGTCAACCTTTAATTGCTAAATCAAGTTCAGTCACAGAACCACAAAGGCAATGATATGATTAAGTATGACAGACAGTGTTTATACAGCTTTGTTAAAGGCCAGAATGTGATGAGGAAACTAAAATATTAATGAAAACGTAAAACAGCTAGTTGTACATTTATAGCATTGAAGAACTTGGAGTGCAAGCTGAAATTCTACAGTAAAGAGCTGAAAAGATGGAAAATCCAAGCAGAATTTTCCCTCTTTGACATAGCTATTGTAGCCCATGCAACGACGAAACAACACAACAATAGGCCCATAAGCATCTTATCTGGGTGGGCCCCATATGACGTACAACACGTGATAAAGGTTCAGGATAGGGCGACAGTTCTATAAATCAGCCAAGAAGATACAATTACGCAATTCTCAGTAGTTTAAGATCACACACAGAAAAATAGTGACTGTGCACTATGGAACCATTGGTGACAGCGCACCACCACATCCACGAAAACATGTTGATGGCGACGGCGTACTATGCACTTTGCATTGTCTTTGTACTGAATTGTGCTATACAAATAAATTTGCCTTGCCTTGCCTTGCCTATGCATGTCCATGAATACACATTTGGTATACCGCTACACACCTATGAAGACACGTAGGTGATGGCAGACCAAATGAGCTACACCTCAAATCGTGTTCTTTTTTTTTTTTACTTTTTTTTTCCATTCTTTCAGTAGCCCTTCTTTCCTTTTTCTTTTCTAGAATCCACTTAAGTTTTTTAACTTTTTATTTTTTTTGGTATCCATGGTCGCTAACACATTGTACGTAACGGTTATGGTTTAATCTACCTTCTGGTTTTGGTCTAATGTGATATGACATCTTGCATGTTGCACCCACGTTACGTATGTAATATGTTCAGTCAGGTCGTCATAACCCATTACCCATAATTCCAAGTCATACACTGTTCTTTTAAGATCTTTATTGTGGTTTGAAACATATTA